GTCCAATTAAGAGGATCATAAACTAATGATTGTAATCTTACACCCATTCCCGCATCTTACTCTTTATCCATGTGTCCGACCACTTCAGTTCGCTGGATGTCCTCGAGCTTGTATAGCCTCTCAGCCAGTTGCCGTGCTGCTTCTATCTTCACCCTGACACCGTTTTCGTTAACTTGGTGGACGCATGTCTGATCCGGGTCCGCGGTGGGAGTCTGCTCTGGCTGCAAAGGCTGCTGGGTAAGATTCCTCTGTTCTGAGTTTATTCTGTTGTTTGAAAGCTGCTCACTGGAGGGTTCTTGCTCCTTCTTTTGCTGTAACTGTGCATGTGGCTCCAACTGCACTGAGGGCTCTAACCACACAGGCTGCTTCAACCTCACATGCTGCTTGAATCTAATCGGCAGCTCTGACCTCATAGGATATTCGAACCTCATTGGCTGCTCCACCCTCACAGGCTGCTTCAAATGCACAGGCCTGTCTAACAGCACAGGCTGCACCTGCTGCACAGGCTGCTCTACCCGAGCACGTGGCTCCAAATGCACAGCAGGCTCCAACCACACAGGCTGCTTTAACAGCACAGGCTGCCGTAACTTCAACGGAGGTTCCAGGAGCACAAACTGCTCGCACAGCACAGGTTCTTCCGACTGCACAGGTTTCTCTAACTGCACAGGCTGCTCTAACTTTACTGGAGGTTCCAGGGGCACAGACCGCTCAAACAGCACAGGCTCTTCCAACTTCACACGTTTCTCCAACAGCTCAGGCTGCTCAAACTGTGTAGGCTGCAAAGGTTGCTCCAACTGCACAGGTTTCTGTAACTGCACAAGCTGCTCTAACTGCTCGTGTCTCTCTAACAGCTCAGGCTGCTCTAACTGCTCATGTCTCTCTAACAGCTCTGGCTGCTCTAACTGCTCATGTTTCTCTAACAGCTCAGGCTGCTCTAACTGCTCATGTCTCTCTAACAGCTCTGGCTGCTCTAACTGCTCATGTTTCTCTAACAGCTCAGGCTGCTCTAACTCCTCATGTCTCTCTAACAGCTCAGGCTGCTCTAACTGCTCATGTTTCTCTAACAGCTCAGGCTGCTCTAACTGCTCATGTCTCTCTAACAGCTCAGGCTGCTCTAACTGCTCATGTTTCTCTAACAGCTCAGGCTGCTCTAGCTGCTCATGTGTCTCTAACAGCTCAGACTGCTCTAACTCCTCATGTTTCTCTAACAGCTCAGGCTGCTCTAACTGCTCATGTTTCTCTAACAGCTCAGGCTGCTCTAACTGCTCATGTTTCTCTAACAGCTCAGGCTGCTCTAACTGCTCATGTTTCTCTAACAGCTCAGGCTGCTCTAACTCCTCATGTGTCTCGAACAGCTCAGGCTGCTCTAGCTGCTCATGTGTCTCAAACAGCTCAGGCTGCTCTAACTCCTCATGACTCTCAAACAGCTCAGGCTGCTCTAACTCCTCATGTGTCTCAAACAGCTCAGGCTGCTCTAACTCCTCATGTATCTCGAACAGCTCAGGCTGCTCTAACTCCTCATGTGTCTCGAACAGCTCAGGCTGCTCTAACTCCTCATGACTCTCAAACAGCTCAGGCTGCTCTAACTCCTCATGTGTCTCGAACAGCTCAGGCTGCTCTAACTCCTCGTGACTCTCGAACAGCTCAGGCTGCTCTAACTCCTCGTGACTCTCGAACAGCTCAGGCTGCTCTAACTCCTCATGTGTCTCGAACAGCTCAGGCTGCTCTAACTCCTCATGACTCTCGAATAGCTCAGGCTGCTCTAACTCCTCGTGACTCTCGAACAGCTCAGGCTGCTCTAACTCCTCGTGACTCTCGAACAGCTTAGGCTGCTCTAACTCCTCATGTGTCTCTAACAGCTCAGGCTGCTCTAACTCCTCATGTTTCTCTAACAGCTCAGGCTGCTCTAACTGCTCGTGTGTCTCTAACAGCTCAGGCTGCTCTAACTGCTCATGTTTCTCTAACAGCTCAGGCTGCTTTAACTCCTCATGTGTCTCTAACAGCTCAGGCTGCTCTAACTCCTCATATTTCTCGAACAGCTCAGGCTGCTCTAACTCCTCGTTACTGTCGAACAGCTCAGGCGGCTCTAACTGCTCATATTTCTCTAACATTTCAGGCTGCTGTAACTCCTCGTGATTCACAAACAGCGCAGGCTGCTCCAACTCCTCATAATTCTCAAACAGCTCAGGCTGCTGTGAGGGAATCAAACTTGGCGGATGCTCAAACGGCTCACTTATGTGGCTAAACATGTCCAGTTCCTCGAGAAGTCTCTTCAGATCTCTCATGTCACTCTCCGAGATGAGCTCTGTCCCCGTCCTGTAGAAATGGGGAGATCATGCAGGAGCTGGTAAAGAATCAAGATGGATCTGGCACAAATTAAGCACTTGGCAGGCTCACTGAAAAATAAAGGTGCAAAATGTCGAACCCGTCATTGTCCTTAGCACTTTTAAATCGACACTGACACCCATGATCATTGTCCCCAGCACTTTTCAAAACAAACTGACACCCATATGATAGAGGCTTTGCTGAAGGCCCCAAGGGCAGAATTCTTCTCAACTTTAAATCTCCTGATGCAAATCAGAATCCCAAGCCCAATCAGGATTCCCAAGCCCCAGCAACCTACCTCTACGCTACGCTGCTTCCTCCCTCTCATTAAACACATTGCAAGCAAAATATAGCATCCATGGAGAACTGGGTATGCTCTGTTAACCCCTCTGCGCAGAAGCCAAATAAGGCAATTTATGAGTTACCCAATTTAAGGCTTTATAATTCAAGATCTGAGCTTCACAGAGCGGGGGGAAATGGCTGAAATGAAACAAGATACTTGTACACAAAAAATCATCATGAAAATTCAGCAATGAAATTATTTTTAAAAAATAATACTGACAAATTCAAAATGGCTGGGAGTTAAAACATTTCTGAAATTATAAACTCGTTGACTACAAGTGTCTGTCATCTGACACTGCTTTTCAAAATTATATACTTTCTACAAGCAAAATAAGACAGTTCTCCAAGTGGCTCCCCATGAGGTCAGAGCCCTCAAAATAGTGCACTGTCAAATACGCAAGTGTTTAAATACTTTTCTGAGGGCCCAATCAATGTCTTTTAATTAAAGAGGAAAGCTTATACTGTGTGGAATTGGATAAAAAAAAAACGTGTCAATCAATAGGTAATTACTGGGAGTGTTTCACGTGGGTGTGAACTATAGCTGTGCATTACACAGATAAGCCCGAGTAGCCATTGAAGTGACTGTATTTCCGTGAGGGATTGCATAAGGCTCTAAAAGACAGCTGAATTCTTCGAGAGATGGATCTACACGTAAATCCACAGTAGGGAATTATGCGTTTTTAATACGTGATGACTATAATTGATAGTAGAATGACATAGAATCGATACCATGGCAAATTTTTTGCTTTAGAAAATGGATTTTTTTAATTACGCAATCGTGACACTGTTGGCTCACTGGACGTGAACAAAGGACAACAATTTTTTCTGTCGAAAGAGATCATTTTTTTAAACTGCTAGATAGATACTATGGGCAAGTATATTGAGCAGCTTGCACATCAGGCTTAGCTGAGGAGTTTAATTAATGCAACTCCTGGAAAACAGGGATGGGACTGATCTTGTCCATATCCTAAACCGTGTTCGAGCTTGACTTGCTAGTGAATTTTCAATAATTGATCTGAGTGTGCCATCTAGTGATCAAATAGTGCAACTGCGTGCATAAATAGAGCAGCTCCATGTCCACTGGCGCGTACATCCGCACAGAGGGGTAAAGTAGTTGGGTAGATCGCCAAGGAGAAGGTGGGTACGCTCTCCTATGTATTTCAAAGGCTTTTTGACTGATAGGTGGGTACACTGTAAATTGACAGAAAAAAGTGGGCATACCTACATATACCCTCCCCTAAACCACAGATTGTAAGGATGCTATCATTAAAAATAAAGCAGAAATACTCTAGACACAGGAGGGTGTATTTTAAGAATGTCAAACACATTATCTGCGCTCTCTTGATTCATTAAAATTAATGGATGTGCCTCTCGACATGCATATGTGCACAGAAGCTGGTAAAAGCTCTAAACTACCAGCTAAAGAAAGACAAATAGAATCATAAGTGGGTGATCCATTGTTATGGAGACATCAAACAACCATGAAGCATTTTTATGAGGAGCTAATAGTCAGAAAGTGAGAAAATACTGTATAATGGCACCCATCATTGACCAAAAACAAGCAGAGAACTCAACAGCTTAGCGTAAACACCTGCTCACCTCAATAAAACATACATTTATTTTTATGAAAATTAAATACCTTAAGTTTCAGATTACAATACTTAATGTATTGTTTGTGTTTGCAGTCAAGGAGTTTTTTCCTCCAGTTGTACTTAGAAAAGTGACCAATATAAAATATTTTTAATTCATGACATGTCGTATTCTCCACATGAAATTCCCTCAGAGAAAAAAAGCTATTCTATTCTAAGCTGTTCTATTCTATGGGAGGACCTGCATTAAAGCAAGAAAGGAGACGTCCTGCTGTTGCCCATGAATTCAGCTGGCTAATTTCACCAGTTAATTCCACCCTCCATTTGAAGAATTGAGCTAATATGCAGATCTAAGTGATTGAAGACCAAGAGTGTGGCTAGACTTATTCTGGGGGAGGCTCCAGTCCTCCAAAATGGTTCTATAGCTCTTCAGAATAATGTATACTTGAAGTTTAAATCATCAATAGCTGGGATAGAACAGGCCAGACCAAGTAAAGGCTTTGACCCCCTATCTATTAATCTCTAGTTACCTTCTTGCTGGAGATCAATTTAAATTTTATGGTAAATGGTAAATAGACTGCATTTATATAGCACTTTCTACTCACATGACATGACCCCAAAGCGCTTTACATATATGCCTCACATTCACCCTGATGGTGACGGCTGCCATGCAAGGCACCACCCTGCACATCAGGAGCAGAGTGGTGTTCAGTGTCTTGCTCAAGGACACTTCAACATATTCTCTGGAGGAGCCGGGGATCAAACCAGGAACCTTCAGATTCCTAGCCTGCCCGCTCTACCTCCTGAGCCATGCCACTGTCAGAACCTGGATTTTCTGCATAACCATCACTTACTGGTCTTTCTGGGCATTAGTACCCTCAGGACATGGGTTGGTTGATGTGCCTTCCTTCTCCTCCAGCTCAAGATGGGATACACCACTCCCACGATATTCTGCTCCCTGCGGAGTCTGTGTACTGTACTCTGGCTGGGCATAGGCTTCTGTGAGGACATTTAAAGAGGGCCTTGTTTCCCATTCACCTCCTTCCATGATACCAGTCCTGTAACTGCCCACCTTAGTCTCTACTTCTGAGCCACTAGGGGGCACTACAGTGTCTCTCGATCCTGGGGATTGCCTCCCCTCTGGGGTCTGGCACAAACAGTGCGAGGACACGGAGCCATCAGAGATATCCTCTGTGTGGAGCTGCATGGACAGTTGCATTCCCATGGTTACTGTTGCCGTCGACGTCATGGTGCTTCCTGCAGCATCAGGTGAGTGCTCCGTCCTGATTTCCAGTCTGTCACCCTCTGTGGGATTCTGTGAATCGCTCAGCTGCCTCTCTATGTCTGAAAGATAACCAATCAGATTAGCCTGGCTTCACAAGTTTTTAATATGACACTTATACAGTGCAGGCAGTAAATATTTGCACGGTCACATGGAGTCCAAAGGGTTGCAGTTCCTACACGATTGAAATGCTGTGGGATCCACATGTCTGTGAATGACAGCTGAGAGTCTCACCTTTAGGGAGCTTGTCAATATTCTGAACAGTGAACGCATTCATTTTTGAACGGACGCCTGTTCATTTTTGGATGCGTTCGAGGCTGCAAACCTGGTCACTGCGTTCGATAATGAACACCCTTCTGTTCATTTTCTGATGCGTTCATTTCCCGATGCCTGCCCGAGGCCTGATGCGTTCATCTAAAACTGAACGCCATTCATTTAAAACTTAACTCCGTTCATTACTAGTAGCATGCAGAGCATGTTTGGGGCGAGCCCGCCTCCATTAAAGCCTTTCTTCTCTATCCTGGACGTCCTGAGTTTGATTTTAGCAAGCTAAATGTACGTAGCGATGATAAAACAACAACAACTCTGAAAACAAAACAATAACAAGAGGCTCCTCAAAGCCTGTACTCGGGCCGGGTTGTATGCCGCGCTATACATTTTACACAGCATACCATTAAAATAATTTAAATAATTATGAAAGCAAAGCAGCATATGGCGTACTACTTTGAAAAATGTTCTCATGCTTTGTTTTAACTTGCTGCCATGTCCTCTTGACAGTGCTGGTACTGCAACTATTAAAGCGTATTCAACTATTAAATAATATTTTATGCCACAGGACTACTGTAAATTTCGCTCGCGCTCGCCCCAATAAAATGTTCGCAATCCAAGAATTTCTGTTTGTAGTCAACTGTCCTGAGTTTTTTATTGCAAATTTTGTCGATGTATGTGACAGTTTATGCGGTTAACGCCATCTCCCCGTTTTCCGTCATTTACTATAGATAGAAATTATCGGCGTTACAGCTGGAGTCTTCTCTCTGTTTTATGCATCAGTTATATAAAATATTATATTGTCGTCACTCATTTCTTTTTCTGAAAAGTAGTCCTACATTTGACTGGTGACGTGGTACCAGAATTTGGAAAACGTGAAAGTGCATGCAGTGGTGGGTGGTGGATGGAAAACTGGGGGGGCGGAAAACATCCCTTGAAACGGATGAGATTAGTGATTTCAATCATTGTTCTGGGTCAACATGTTAGTTTCCCTTATAATGAAATGTTTAGGCGAGTGAATAATAAATTCTATAAACTGTTTAATTCACATGCCTTAATAGGCAACTCTTCACGAAAAAACCACCGTGAATTTTCCGCGTTAAATTTTGTCACATCCTAAGCAAGTCGTCAAACCTGTGCGTAATGACTGTTTAATTGAAAAAGATTGAAATGCGCTCTTTTTTGCGTTCAACTGGTGCGTTTGATTTCTCGTCTTAACGAAGACAATTAGCTACACCTGAAAGGGGAGAGTTCAAGTGTCTTTTACTCGGGTCAACTGACTGAAAACAGATCAAACTAATAAGCAGTTTAAAGACATGTTTATCGCCCTCCTTGTTATCTGTCCACCGCCCGCCACTGCGTGCATGTATGTTACCCCTTGCCCGCCGTCGTCTTTGTGATCTCGCGCTTGTGTTTTTCTGTATGCCTATCTGGGCCCGGTTGTTCAAAGCTTTGTTGACTTTAACCGGTGATTAAGTTTCAATCACAGTACCTATATCTCTGAATGAAAGCACAGATGTTTGTACATTTTGATAAAACTATATTGGGTAGTTTGTTACAGGAGGAGTAGTTTTCTACAGGTTGTGAGGCATTTTGTTACACTAAGAATTTGTTTATTAAGTGAGACGTGTTTCCCACTTAAGTAGGCAAATTAAGGGGGATGCCTTACTACTATTATCCCACGAAGCCACTGTAAGGAACCTCTTGGGTCATAATGACATTGCCATGTTTCGTTATTCGTTTGTAATTTCGAGGCATCTTTCTGAAATAAAAAAAAGGTAGAAAGTCATTCAGTGAGGTAATTTGATCCCAGGTCTTCCCGGCACTGCTGACTCCTTTTGTTTTATAAGAAACTATCTTATCTTTTGTATAGACTATGCTGATTTCTGCGATTTGGCGCTAACGTGTGCTAAGTGAGCTTTTAGATTATGGGCGCGGATATTCTTTTGTGAACGACGACTGAATATGGATGACGGTTTATATAAACGCTTGTACAGGCCTATTTTAAATTCTAAGTTCCTTAAAGTGAGATAGTTGTCATTGTTAGTTTTTTTTTTCCATATACTGGGTATAATCCGCCTGCTAAAGATCATTTGCCAATTTAGATGACGCTTCAGGAATGGTATTATATGCGACCTACTCCTGTTCTCTGAACAAAAACATATTCCGGTTATCTAAACAAAAACATACTAAACTTAGTCGACTGAACAAATTAAATATTAATCGTGCACATCATCCAAAAGTCTCGTCACCGGTATTCCAGCGTGTCGCATGAATTCAGGTCTCACTCCGTGATCTCGTATCCCTGAACCAGCTTATCACCGTGGCATCACAAGAATAGGCTACTTAGTCGTTTATCTTGCAATCAAGCTTATTCATTAATTAAACCGATAACACCCTTATAATAAGAGTTATATTCATAAAGGGGGAAGGGCGGGGGGATAAATATTTATTAACATTCAGACATGCTGATTTTATAATACTGTGCACACGCAGAGGTTTTACTTTGCTCATCTGCTTGTCTAGATCTGGACTTGTCGTCGGCAGCTCCCACAGAGCGGCGGTTTCATGTGTTGTGACTTCAATCTGAAAAAAATACTGTACAACAAATTAGAACAATATATAATATGACAAATGGTAGCCTACAAAATCTGCGACAATCAATGGAACAAAATCTGAATATCATTGCAGAACTCATCGTGTACGTAGTGGGCTGTAAAGTGTGGCATTTTTTTTTTTTTTTTTTTTTTTGGCTTGCGCATTCACGGGTTTAAAATGAAAGGATTAATATTGCCGATAATTTTGCAATTTGATATGAGAGTTATCCTAGTTCTTATACTCACAGAATAGTAGAATTAAACTTCGGCTGTCGCGCAGATGATGAGATATAATGCGTGAACTATAATTTTAATGCATTTAATTTTATCTATTTACAATCTTTTGCATACAAATTGCCTAGCGGTCACATCATGATTTGGAATTCTAAAATGCTTTTTATATAAGAAGGAAAAAGTGGCATACTGACACCACACGGAAGCGATGTTCATTCCAGTAAAGTATTCACACAGCAACATTTGAATGTTATGGCTGACTGAACGTATCCCGGTAACACTGAATGACAATTTATCTCCGGTCTGGAGTGTGGAATGTGTTAAAGCATCTTATCGAACTCCATGAAAAGTGAAAGCGTAGAGCGGAAGATTGACGAATGGTAAAGATACAATTTCGAAACTGGAGATCTGGAAGGATTGTTTAGCCGACGAGAAGACTGTTGTTTAATAGGCATGGACCTTACAATATACTACTAAATTCTGCAGGATGGGAGACGGGGAATTTTTTTCTCGAAAAAAAGAAATGTTTACGCACGTTGGTGTAAATTTTGCGAAGTGGAGAGCAGATTCATTTTGTAACGCGAGAGAGGGTAGCTGTGTTCGTTTTTGGATGCCGTCCGGTCAAAAATGAACGAATGCTTGTTCATTTTTGAACGCAAAATGAACGCATGCTCGTTCATTTTTGAACACTCTGCCATTCGTTTTTTTAGCTGAAAACAAATGGAGACTTGTTCATTTTTGAACGCCTGTTCAAATTTGACTGCATTCAGTATATTGACAAGCTCCCTTAGCCTCATTATCATTGTTTACAAATTCAATGTGCTGGAGTTCAGAGCCAAATAACAAAAAATGTGTTACTATACATGAGCTTCAGCCTACACTGTATCACATGTAGAGCGTACAAGTGCTTCAGACTACAGTATATCACAGGTAGAGCTTACAAGTGCTTCAGACCGCACTGTATCACATGTAGAGCTGACAAGTGCTTCAGACTGCACTGCATCACATGTAGAGCTTACAAGTGCTTCGGACCACACTGCATCACATGTAGAGCTTACAAGTGCTTCAGACTGCATTGTATCACATGTAGAGCTTACAAGTGCTTCAGACCGCACTGCATCACATGTAGAGCTCACAAGTGCTTCAGACTGCACTTTATCACATGTAGAGCAAAGAAGTGCTTCAGACTGCATTGTATCACCTGCAGAGCTTACAAGTGCTTCAGACCGCACTGCATCACATGTAGAGCTTACAAGTGCTTCAGACTGCACTGCATCACATGTAGAGCAAAGAAGCGCTTCAGACTGCACGGCATCACATGTAGAGCTTACAAGTGCTTCAGACCGCACAGCATCACATGTAGAGCTTATAAGTGCTTCTGACTGCACGGCATCACATGTAGAGCTTACAAGTCCTTCAGACTGCACTGTATCACATG